ACAGAGATCCTCCTCTGGCACCCCAACAGCACAGAATATGTAGCTTTATATTATTCTGCATTGATGTAAAATGCATTGCTGGGATTTTAACTCCTTAAACGTTTGAACTGAAGATGGAACTGTAAACCGACATCACCGTTCACAGGAAGGCTGCCGAGGTCCCCAGAAAGCGAGGGACTTTGCCCGCCTTCCTTTGAACTAGGGCTGCAGCTAACGATTATTTTCATAATCGATTAGTTAGCCGATTTTATTAAGTTCGATTAATCGGATTTAAAAAAAAAGGCTCCAGTGATGGACTACTAGTTTCTATTGAGATTGTAGTCCATCATGGGAGCAAGCTTGGCACGGTGGAAGTAAAAAAAAAAAACAAATGTGGTGTGCAATATAGTACATTATACAGAGGCGCAGTGCAGAATACCAGCAGCTATAGAGAAATGTAGCAATAGTAAATTTTACTATAATGTACTATTGCTGGGATTTGTAGTCCTCTGTAGCTGGGGTTGTTCTGCATTGCGCTGTATATAATGTATTATTGCAGGGATTTGTAGTCCTCTGTAGCTGCTGGTATTCCGCATTTCGCCATATAATCATTATACAGCGCACTGCAGAATACCACCAGCTATAGAGGACTACAAATCCCAGCAATAATACATTATATACAACGCAATGCAGAATACCAGCAGCTATAGAGAAATGTAGCAATAGTAAATTTTACTATAATGTACTATTGCTAGGATTTGTAGTCCTCTGTAGCTGCTGGTATTCTGCATTGCGTTGTATATAATGTATTATTGCTGGCATTTTAGCCGACGATAGAAAACGCTGACAACGTTTTCCATCGGCGATTTTAATCGACTTAATCTAATTGTTGCAGCTCTACAGAATACCAATGTATAATACACCGGCACACTGCTGAACATTAGCAGCTATAGAGGAACAACAAATCCCAGCAATAATACATTATACAGGGTTTTTAATATATTATTGCTGGGATTTGGTGTTCCTCTATAGCTGCTAATGTTCTGCAGTGTGCCGCTTAAAAAAAAAAACGCACAGGAAACATTAAAAAGCTGTCGGCCGGCAGCGGCGAATCGGGCAGCTCACCGGAAGGAGAGGGCCAGACGCATGTCCTCAGTGTGGGCGTGAGCGGGTATACCGGCGTAGGCGCCAGTGGATTAACCCATGTGGCGTGAGCGGCGAGCTGGAAATTTGAATTTTATCCTGACGAATCGACGATGGAAAACGTTGACAACGTTTTCCATCGTCGATTTTTAATTGAATAATTGTTGCAGCTCTAATTTGAACCCTGATGTCTGTTTACATCGACTGCCGCACGCACATCGTCTCCTTCCTGAAACCATGTTGCCCGCAAGACCCTCAGAGCATTGGTGAGACTCTGCACAGCCCACCGCAGGAGTTATTAGCCCGGCACCCCAGAGCAGCACAGTGTATGTAGCTTCATATTAATTTGCCTTGATGTATATTGCATTCCTAGGATTTGTCTTCCTCTATAGCCGGTTACCTTTCGGGATTGCTTTATGATGTATTGCTGGGATTTGTAGTCCTCTATAGCTGGTGGTATTTTGCATTGCTGTATAATGTATTGCTGAGATTTGTAGTCCCTCTACGGCTTGGAGTCAGTGGCAGAACTACCAGGGGGGCTAATTTTGTGACCGTGCCCTGGCATCTCACTACTGTCCTAAAATCATTTGTCTGTATTGTTTTAGAAACCTGTCACATGACACTGGAAAAAAGTATTGGTAATTAGTTTTGGCGAGTACTTGAGGAAAAGTATTTGTATTTGGTCGGGAAAAAATGATTGGCGCATCCCTAATCAAAAGCATGTCCCTTTTTAATCTCACTTCTAGAGTGAACAAGTTTAAATTTAGCAACCTTGTCTTACAGCATTGGTCCTCCAACCCCTTAATTTCTTTGCTCTCCTCTGGACTATCTCCAGTTCAAGGGCATCCTTTATATGGATTGGTGACTAAAATACAACTGCATAGTCAAGATGAGGCCAAATCCGTTATCTGTAAATCGTCAAAATGATTGCTTTATCTCTAGAGTGTACAGTTACTTTTTAATGTATGACAGTACTCTGGCAGCTTTGTTTGCTGCAGCCTAGCATTGCATGCTTTTGTTTAATCTGCAGTCCACTATGACGCCCAAATATTTTTCCACTTCTGACTTCCCTAATGGAGTTCCCATTAATGTGTATTCTGTGTATCTGTTTTCATCCACAAAATGCACTACTTTTACATTTTTCAATATTCAACCTCATCTGCCACATAGTTTCATACTCCCCTAGTTTATCCAAGTCTAAGTTAGTGAATATTACCCTCCCAATTTTAGCATCATCTACAAACACAAACCATAGTTAACACCTCCCCCAATATAATTTATAAACAGGTTAAACATTATTGGACCTGGCACAGAACCGTGGGACACCACACTCTCTCTACCTTAGAAGTATTTGAAAAAGCAATTTTTTTTTTTTTAATATATAAACAATACTAGGGCTACAACTAACAATGATTTGTATAATCGATTAGTTGGCTGATTTTTAATTACATCGAATAAAAAAAAATACCATCTTTTGTTTAAAAATAGAATACACAAATGGAATGTTACAAACCCATAATGTTTACTACAGAATAAAACCGTGTTTAGAGTTAGCCATGAATATTGGCCCAAGAATTATTGCTCTCACTCTGTGGAGCACGCGGCGATACCTGATGTGTAGTAGGGCTGCAGCTAACGATTATTTTCATAGATCGATTAGTTAGCCGATTATTAAGTTCGATTAATCGGATAAAAAAAAAAGGGCTCCAGTGATGGACTACTAGTTTCTATTGAGATTGTAGTCCATCACGGGAGCAAGCTTGGCGCGGTGGAAGTATGGTATGGTGTGGAGTGGTGTGCAATATAGTACATTATACAGCGGCACAGTTGCGTCCTGTGGGCACGGCGGGAGCAGCGTGCGGTGGGCGTGGCTTATATCCGGCGGGCGCAGCCGGACGGAAACAGCGTGCGACGTGTGCTTCAGGCCGCGTTTGGAGCCCCGAACAGGGAAATCAATCGATAGCTGACGATCGAAAACGTTGGCAACGTTTTCAATCGTCGATTTTAATCGACTAAATCGATTAACTGTTGCAGCTCTAATGTGTAGCGCTATCGTCGGTTTTTTTTGTACCTGACTTGGGTTTCGTTAGTATGCGCAGAGGGATTATTTTTAATGTTGTTGTTATTATTATTATTTTTTCCATTGCTATCACATTGGGGGGCTCTCAAGTCCCCTATGTGATAGCACATGAGGCAGCTGAATGTAAAACACAGCAATCAATGGCTGTGTGCAATAGCCAGCCTGCTATTGACTTTTTTTTTTTTTTTAATTGCAATAGCAGGGTGGCTATTGCACCCGCTTGCTGTCAATCAACAGAGGGAACTGAAGGACAAAGTGGTCCTTCATTTCTTATCTGCTGATTGACAGCAGGCAGTGGGCAGGTGCAATAGCCAGCCAGCTATTGCAATTTAAAATAGCCAATAGCAATTGCTATTTCTCGCAGCAGCTGGATGGGAGACTTGATGCTGACTTTCTACCACCCTGCAGAAGAGAGGGCACGGGGGAGCAGCAGAGGTGCAAGAACATGGGCATCAGCAGAGGAACAGGGGCAGCAGTGGGGGAATGCAGAGGCACAGCGATCTCTCCTTCCCGCTGGTGCCGGGGAGAGCAGCAGGGATTGAAAAGGACACCGACCGCTGGAGCTTGCACCAGTGAGGAAAAGAACTGGGAGTGGCGGCGGTGGCTGCTGATTCAACTAATCAAAACAACTAATCGATAATGAGAATCATTGACAGTGATTCTCATTTATTGATTGTCATCGATTTAAGTGATTAGTTGTTGCAACCCTAACATACTCCTGGACAACTGTAGCCAGTTCTCTATCCATGTGCTCACCATTTTATCTACCCCATAGATTGCAGCTTGTGTATTAAGTGTTTATGTGGTACAGTGTCAAATGCTTTTTGCAAAATCAATGTGCACTACGTCCAACGCCCTTTCTCCATCTAGCTTTCTACTTACCCCCTCATAGACTGTTCATAGGTTGGTCTGACAAGAACGGGTCTTCATAAATCCATCCTGATAGTCCCTTATCCCATTGCTACAAACAAAATCCATTAAATAGTCTTATAATTTTCTTAAACAATTGGCATACTATTGTAGATGTTAAACTCACTGGTCTGTAGTTCTCTGGTTGGCATCTTGAACCTTTTTTGAATATTGGTAGTAAAAGAACTCTCTAAGCTCGAAAGTAGCTATTTGAACCTTCATGGGGCCTCCTCTTATTGCTGCTGGTGGCTGAACTGACAGGGAAGTTATGGGTAAGTATTCTATGTGTAGCAGGTGGATGGATATCGGAGTATCCTGTTACTTTACCCTGCATGGCCAAAGCACAGATTCGTATGCACATGGGCGCATAAGGCTGTACAATGTAAATTGTGGGTGTATTTACACATACAAGATGCAGAGTAAATCCACATACAGCCTACCTCGTGTCGCCTATGGGAAATTTTGGGTATTGTAGTTCACGGGTGCACACAAATTTTATTCTTGGCGTGTTGGCTATCTATCATGGTTTTTTGTTTGCCAAAGAAATGTAGCATAATACAATTTGGCCTAAATATATGAAGATGTTTCATGATGCAATGTAGGGGAAACATAATTTTTTTTACATGTTTTGGTATTTTTTTCTTTATATAGTAAAAAAAAACTAAATTAAATATCACCACAAAGTTCTATCTGTCTCAAAAAAATTATATACAATTTTGTTACAGTATTGTATGATAGAATAAATGTCAAAGTACCTCAGTGGTGAAAAGGTAATGTTTGTTTGTGATTCCTGTGACAAGAGCTATATCCTGCATACATGTGAGTATTAAAAATTACATCTTGACCAATTTCAGATTAATATGGTGCTTTCTATTTTACTTCATCACAGGTCGTGACATCATTGGTTTGGCTGAAACGGGCTCTGGAAAGACGGGTGCCTTTGCATTACCTGTACTTCAAACATTGCTGGAAGGTCCACAGAGGCTCTATGCTTTGGTTCTTACGCCCACTAGGGAACTGGCTTTTCAGATTTCTGAACAGTTTGAAGCTCTTGGTTCTTCAATTGGTGTAAAATGTGGTATGCTGATTTAAATATTTATCGTACTTGCATGGATAGTTTTGATATACACTCAAATAGAAGTTAATAGTTGTGTTTTCTCTTTTGTTCATTGAAGGACAGGGTGGAGATCTTAAATCTCATACTGATGGGTTATCTAGCACCACCTTCAGGAGTAGCTGTAGATATTTGCCGCCCCTTGTGATGAAAGATGGGTGATGAAGCGACCGCAGATAGGGCCGCACTTAACAATGAAATGTCACCAGCACACCAGTGGATAGTGTTAAAAAAAAAGCGGCTTTTATTCATGCTAATTTGTCAAATCAAAAATTGCAACGTTTCGGGGCCTCGTAGGGTCCCCTTCAACAGGCTTAACATGACAGTTAAGTTACTCAAAACCATATATACCAACTCAAACAGTTTAGCCCAATCAGAATAGCCAGAGTGGACAGGTCACACGCCTCTGATATTATTAAGATGTCACATTACCGTCAGAACATTGGAAAGTTATGTTTAAAGTGTACGTAACTTTCGTCAGGATGCTGCACAAGGTCGTCTTGGTGTACATTGTCACTTAGGGGTCTATTCACGTAGCTGCCGAAGGATCTAGACGTAGCTTCGGCCGATCCTTCGGCCCCAGGACCCCTTCGGTTCAGTAGAACCAAAGGGGTGCTGTACGGGCTATTCACTATAGCCCATACAGCTCCCGAACGTGGCCGAGCGGCTTGGTCGAGTCGAACGCATATGCATCGGCTCAGCTGAGCCGTGCTGAAAGCCGAAGCTGGCCGAGCGGCCGGCCATTGGCTGGCCGACAGCCTGCTTCTGACA